AGGTTGCACAGGTAATCCAACTCCTCCAGGATGGCACATCCATACATGCCATTGCCAGGTTTGCTGTGTCTCCCAGCAGTCTCAAGAGCATGGAGGAGATTCCAGGAGACTGGCAGTTACTCTAGGAGAGATGAAAAGGGCCATAGAAGGTCCTTAACCCATTGGCAGGACTGGTAGCTGCTCCTTTGTGCAAGGAGGAACAGGTTAAGCACTACAAAATGGTCTCCAGCAGGCCCATGGTGTAAATGTCTCTGACCAAACAATCAGAAACAGACTTCATAGAGGATGGCCTGAGGGCCCGACTTCCTCTAGTGGGCTCTCTGCTCACTGCCCGGCACCATAGAGCTCAATTGGCATCTGCCATTGAACACCAGAATTGGCAGGTCTGCCACTTGTGCCCTACGCTTTTCACAGATGAGAGCAGGTTCACCCTGACCACATGTGACAGACGTGAAAGGGTCTGGAGAGGCCGTGGAGAATGTTATGCTGTCTATAACATTGTGCAGCATGACCGTTTTGGTGGTGGGTCAGTGATGGTCTGGGGAGGCAGATCAGTGGGACCTCTACAGGCTAGATAATGGCACCCTGACTGCCATTAGGTATTGGGATGAAATTCCTGGACCCATTGTCAGACCCTACGCCGGTGCAGTGGGTCCTGAGTTCCTTCTGGTGCAGGACAATGCCCAGCCTGATGTGGTGAGAGTATACAGGCAGTTCCTGAAGCATGAAGGAATTGATAACATTGAATGGCTCCCACGCTCATCTGACCTAAATCCAATAGAACACCTCTGGGATATCATGTTTCAGTCCATCCGATGCCGCCAGGTTGCACCTCAGACTGTCCAGGAGCTCAGAAATTCCCTGGTCTAGATCTGGGAGGAAATATCTTAGGACACCATCCATCGTCTCATTAGGAGCATGGCCCGAAGTTGTCAGGCATGCATACAAGCACGTGGGGGCCATACAAACTACTAAATACCATTCTGAGTTGCTGCAATGAAATTTCAGCAAAATGGACTACTCTGCTGCATCATTTTTTCACTTTGATTTTCAGGGTGTCTTTGGATTCAGTCCTCTGTAGGTTGATAATTTTTATTTCCATGAAACGATGGGGAATCCTTACATTCCTAACACATTACCCAATCCAAAGCAGCATACATATCCAGCATGATATTTTTTCCCATTGAGATCTGATGTTTTTTTCAAAGTGTTACTTTCTTTTTTTGAGCAGTGTATTATGTTACTATACAATGATTTACATCTACAACACTTAAAACATATACAACACAATGTTTCTTTATTAATCATAAAGTTGTACATTGTTACAGTATGAAAAGATACAGGCATTTAGCAATCCATTGGAATAATAGCTATGGAAATGGAAGAAAAAAATGTTCATTGAGCAAGTGCAGGTATCTAATATATTACAGCTGTAAACCACCATGTAGCACCTTATTTAAATGTGGCCAAAGGATGTAAAACATCTGCAACCTCATTCTGGGGATGTAGAACAAAATGTCAATCTCTGCTTGAGCCACAGTAAAATAGAGATTACCATTGCTTAAGCCAAATGGATCAATCTCATTTAGTGAATTCTTTAAACTGAGCAGGTAAGGGGAAAAAAAAAGAAAAAGTATACATTTCTTCATACAGTGCAGGGTTTAAAGAAGAAGAACTCCAAGGTCCTACTAAGTGTGCATTTTTAGATCCCTCTTCTTAGGCTTAGTTTAATAACTGGCAAAGTTATTAAATTAGTTTTTCCTATCTCAACATCATCCTGTTCTTAGAAATAAATGTGGTTTGCATTCACAGGAAGGAGTTTCACTCTTGCTGCATGTCACATGTGATGGTAAATGGTACTACATTTCCCAAGATACAAAGAGAAATGCAGAGAGAGAAAAAAAAAAAAAAAAAAAAAGTGTGTGGGCGGAGCTATGCTAAGGTGTTCTATCTTGAATATACAATGTGAAGGGGGTGTATTTGTGGGTTTGGAGCTATGCTAAGGTGCTCTATTCTGCATATCTGTGTAGACGCCCACAATATCAACGGAATGACGTAGCTATAGTGGGCAATTCAGACTGGGAGATCACTGCTTGCTGAAAGAGAACTACAGTGGGGACCTTACAAGACTGGTGGCCAGGTCAAAAGAGGGCATAGCAGCCACTAGTCTTACAAAACAGGAAATTACGGGGAATGCAAACTAATTTAAAAAACGTACCTTCATATTATCTTACACTACAAACTGAGGAGAGAAATGGACTACATTTCTTCTTAAGGCAGGAAAGCACCATTAACGGAAAAAACAAAAAGTTTCTGCCCAGAGTTCAGCTTTAAATAACTTGATTGCCAAATAAACCAGTACCAGGCTTGGGCTTCACATTTCCACAGACAGTGAGGGAGAAAACCTGTCACCAATAGAAACATGTAATTATTGGATAGTAAATGCTCTAAAAGGATTCTTCCACATACGTTTGACCAGAAAGGCCTAGAAACCACATTCATTTTTAATTCAGGTTCTCAGTAAAGTTATGCTGACAAATCTCCCTCTCTCCTAAAGCATCTAATCACTACAATCAGATCACAAGGAACTGCACTGGACAATAGGCTAAATATACTAATATAGCTCAATACATTGACAGATTCTGTTTCAACATAAAACAGTATAATCTATACTGAGAAGAGAGACCCCCCCAAAGCCAGCCGATATGCAAAGCAGCATGTACTCCAGGTGGTCTCCAAGGCACTTTTTCTTTATAAATTTGTATGTTCAGACACTGTTCAGATCCTGTTATCAAAAGAGAAAATGTATTAATTTGAATGTTGGGTTTTCTTTAAATACTTGGCATCTTTGCAGTTAGCCTACTGTGGCATGCTAGCACTCAAGATTCCATTACATACAGACCTTCTCCATTACATCTGTTGGACAAACTGCCTAAAAAAAGATATTAATTCTGTTTTTCTGTAAAGGCTGCTTGTGGAACTTTTTACTTGGTTCATTTTCCTATTCAAACCGATGGAAAGATGTAATAAAAATATTTTGTCTTCTATATGGGTAAAGTTTTGAAAAATAAAGTGAAAAAAAAAAAAAAACGCCTAACCTGCCCTGGGAAGCACATAGCTATACCAGTATTTACATATCAACCCAGCTTCCTGTGTTGTGGGAGGGCCCTTTCTAAACCTCACTATTAGCCAGTAAGACAACCCATCACAGTGATGGGCTAATATGAAGGCTTTGAAGGTGGGAGGTGGTAGAACCATGCTCTCAATACAGAAATCTGGATGGATCGGTGGACACTCAAGCACTGTGAGATTTGGGTCAACTATTGTGCCGATTTGGAATTAGGCCTGATAAGTATACTCTCATAAGTGGGTGCTATTCGTTGTCAACCCTGGATTAGAAATGGATATATATATATATATATATATATATATATATATATTTTAGTAGATCAACTTTCTCTAAATGAAAAAAACCCACATATACAATGTGGGTAATACAATATGCTGGATGCCCAAGGCAGACCTTCACTGTTGGCCACATCTTAGAGGAAATCAGTGCTGTATGCGCATATTGCTCTTCAAAGGCCATTCCTTTCCAGCTGCTGCTGAACTGAAAGTCTCAGCAAGTCCTGCAAGCCGATAACAAGTACCACAACAGCTGCAAAACCACTGACCCTCTGCTTTAACACTGCATGTGTACCTTTCCATCTCATGGAAGAGACTTGCTCTGATGGACAGTTGGCTGAACCACAGACTTTGAGAGATGGAATATTGCTTCCCCTCAAAATAAACAAACAAAAAAAAAAAACACACACACACACACACTATATAAAATATTTCTTTTTATGCGTTTTTTTTTTTTTTTTTCTTTTTATAGGAAAGCACATTTTACACATTTTATCTCAACTCAATCACAAAACAAATGGCTCTTCAGTTTTGGGGTACTTTGCATTTAAGGTATAATTACGGTTCTTTTAACTACTTTTATGGAGTGGCTATATAGGATAAATAGCTTAAATTGAACTGTACAAATTTGAAAAAGGAAGCAAATAACTTGAGTCCTCGCTAATGCGAAGGGGCGCAATGCAAGGTGTTAGAAAGCATCACAATATCTTATATCACTATTAAAAACCCAAAATACAATGGTATTTGTGCGCTACAATATAATGGTAGGTGCAAAAAAAATGCTTGTGCAACCCAATACCAGAAGGTTATGAGAAGGCTACGCCTGATCAAGTTTCCTCCTTTTGCAAAATTTCACAGTATATAAATATTCTTCAATAAACAGGAAGCGTAGCATGACTTTCAGTACATAGGTAGAACAAGACTGGAATCAAGTATTTGGTGTGGCAGATTCTGATGTATTACATAACCTGAAAACCAAGATGGCCTTACTTTGGTCATGGGAAACAAGTGCACATACAAAGCCGATGAATAAACAGCAGCTTATTTATAAAAAAAAAAACAAACAAAAAAAAACAAAACTGTACATCATTCAGGTACTTGTTAATATAACACACATCAAATAATGGGATCCTTCTACATTAATTTCAAGTTCAGCCAGAGACACAGCAGAAAGATGTGTAGAAAATATGATGTGTTGGATATGCTGTGTGTTTTACAGTATACAGAGGAAATACAGGATGGGTTGCACCATCTGTACACTGTGAAACAAAAAAGCACAGATTTGTGTTTGTCATCCCATTAGTGTCAAGCTTTTCAGAGTCTAATGGACCATACCATTTAAGAGGGAAATGGCAGCTGTGAAATGCATGATGTTGCCCATTCTGACACCCTCTCAATTCCATCTCATGAGTGGCCAAAAACCACATGCAATGAAGGTGGCAGGAGCACATTCAGCAGCAGCTATCCATACATTCTATGGTGGTTACACTGAGCCTTTCTGGTTGTCACCATCACTATTGTTCTTTAGGTGCTCCCTGGTCCACTTTCAATTCTTTGGTCACCCATCTTCATAGACAAGAATGCATGCTTGGCTGCTATCCATTTAGCAAATAGACAACCACTTCGTAGGTTGACATCATTATAGCTGTGTTGGGAATTTGTCTAACCAGGTGCGTTGTGAGGCCACGGTACAAGGAACCATAACCTTCTTCTCTCACCACCAGAGACAGTGTCTGAAAGAAGGATCTGTATTTTGTGCCCTCCTCGCGTAGCCTTGTCCGTACAACCTCTGAAAACAAAACAGAAAAAAAAATTAACATCACTAACAAAATACATAGACATTAGGACAAAAATAAATTATTATTATTATACAGGATTTATACCGCACCAACAGTTTACGCAGCGCTATTCAATATAAAGGGAGACAGTACAGGTACAATGCAGTAAAAAACAAGAGGATTAAAAGGGCTCTGCTTATGAAAGTTTATAATCTAATAGGGTGGGGCAAGTAGTACAAAAGGTTATAACTGTGGAGAATGAGCTGATGGAAATGATAAATGTCTAGTTAGATGCGTGATAGACTTCACTGAATGAGTTTTCAAGGATCGCCTAAAGTCAGCAAGAGTGGGGAATATTCAGACCGGTTGAGGTAGAGAGTTCCCAGAGGATGGGAGAAGCTCTGGCAAAGTCCTGGAGACTAGCATGGTAGGAAGAGACAAGGGAGCTTGAGAGCGGGAGGTCATGAGAGGAATGGAGAGGATGGTTTGGGTGATATTTGGAGACAACACTGGTGATGTAGCTAGGGGCAGAGTTGTGAACAGCTTTGTATGTTGTTGTAAGCATTTTGAATTTAATATGCTGGGCAATCGGAAGCCAGTGGAGGGATTGGCAGAGAGGTGGCAGACACTGAGCGGTTGGTAAAGTAGACTATTCTGGCAGCAGCATTCATGATAGACTGAAGAGGGGGTAGCCTACAGGAAAGTAAACCTATGGTAAGGGAGTTGCAATAGTCAAGGCGAGAAATAACAAGGGAGGGAATGGGTAGCTTGGTGGTTTTCGTTAGTTAAAAAGGGGAGAATTTTCGAGATGCTACAGAAGAGAAGTCTACAAGCTTTTGAGTGATTGGATCTGGGGCCAAAAGGATGGGTCATAGTCTAGGATTACATCTAGTACCCTGGCTTGAAGGGAGGGACTGATTATTGCATTATTGATCTTGATGGAAAAGTCATGCAGGAGGGCACGAGCTCGGTTTTAGAGATTTAATTTAAGGAAGTTGTGCGACATCCATGCTGATATGTCAGTAAGTTAGTAATGTGGGAGGAGACCGAATGAGTGAGGTGAGGAGTAGAGGGATAGATTTGGGTGTCATCGGCATAGTATCTTAGTAACAAATAAAGATTGAGTAGTTTAAAAAAAAATACGCACCACATTTAAGATTTTAATACTTAATCCATAATTTTTTTCTGATCCTCAACATAAATAATATTTTTAGGTTTTGCATATTTCCCTCCTCCCCACTCCTCTTACACCTTTTATCCACTTTCTTTTCTTCTATCCTTACCTCTTATTGTGTTTATGCCTGTCAATCTATCGCTCCCTCATTCTCTTGTTAACTCCTATCAGTTCTGCATATTTATTTGTAGTTTTAAAATGGACTCCATTTTCCCCAGGTTTTTATAAATTTTTCCATTTTATCTTCTCCACTATGACATAATTCCTATATGTATGCTCAACCCTCTTTATCCAGTCTTTTACTTTAGGAATCACTTGTACCTGCCAAAATTTAGGGATCAGCCATTTTGCTGCCTTTATTAAATTAGGTATCATTGTATTTTTATATTGTTTTACCGTAAACTCCGTGCTATGAAATAGACACCCATGGATCTTTTGGGATACTGACCCCCCAAAATCTCCTGTATCTGTTGTATTATTTGCTGCCAGAACTCTTGTATTTTGGGGCATTCCCATCATATATGTGCCATTGTTCCCTTTATTCCATACCCCCTCCAACTAAAAAGTGAATTCACTGGTTGTTTATGCGCTATCATAGGTGTAATATACCATCTTATCTTATTTTCCTTTTTTGTTCATTCAATTGTATTCCAAATTCACTTTCCTATTTCTCCATATACAGATGAAACTCGAAAAGTTAGAATATTGTGCAAAAGTTCATTTATTTCAGTAATGCAACTTAAAAGGTGAAACTAATATATGAGATAGACTAATTACATGCAAAGCAAGATAGTTCAAGCCGTGATTTGTCATAATTGTGCCGATTATGGCTTACAGCTCATGAAAACCCCAAATCCACAATCTCAGAAAATTAGAATATTGTGAAAATGTGCAATATTCTAGGCTCAAAGTGTCCCACTCTAATCAGCTAATTAAGCCATAACACCTGCAAAGGGTTCCTGAGCCTTTAAATGGTCTCTCAGTCTGGTTCAGTAGGAATCACAATCATGGTAAAGACTGCTGACCTGATAGTTGTGCAGAAAACCATCATTGACACCCTCCATAAGGAGGGAAAGCCTCAAAAGGTAATTGCAAAAGACGTTGGATGTTCCCAAAGTGCTGTATCAAAGCACATTAATAGAAAGTTATGTGGAAGGGAAAAGGGTGGAAGAAAAAGGTGCACAAGCAGCAGGGATGACCGCAGCCTGGAGAGGATTGTCAGGAAAAGGCCATACAAAAGTGTTGGGGACTTTCACAAGGAGTGGACTGAGGCTGGAGTCGGTGCATCAAGAGCCACCACACACAGACGGATCCTGGACATGGGCTTCAAATGTCGTATTCCTCTTGTCAAGCTGCTCCTGAACAAACAACATCAGAAGCGTCTTACCTGGGCTAAAGAAAAACAGACCTGGTCTGTTGCTCAATGGTTCAAAGTCCTCTTTTCTGATGATAGCAACGTTTGGGTCCTTGGTTTCCAAATGAGTTGCAGAGTATGGAGGAAGAATGGAGAGGCACACACTGCAAGATGCTTGAAGTCCAGTGTGAAGTTTCCACAGTCTGTGCTGATTTGGGGAGCCATGTCATCTGCTGGTGTTGGTCCACTGTGCTTCATTAAGTCCAGGGTCAACGCAGCCGTCTACCAGGAGATTTTGGAGCACTTCATGTCTCCTTCTGCAGACAAGCTTTATGAGGATGCTGACTTCATTTTCCAGCAGGACTTGGCACCTGCCCACACTGCCAAAAGCACCAAAACCTGGTTCAATGACCGTGGGATTACTGTGCTTGATTGGCCAGCAAACTCACCTGACCTTAACCCCATAGAGAATCTATGGGGCATTGCCAAGAGAAAGATGAGAGACATGAGACCGAACAATGCAGAAGAGCTGAAGGCCGCTATTGAAGCATCCTGGTCTTCCATAGCACCTCAGCAGTGCCACAGGCTGATAGCTTCCATGCCACGCCACATTGAGGCAGTAATTGCTGCAAAAGGGGCCCAAACCAAGTACTGAGTACATATGCATGCTTATACTTTTCAGAGGTCCGATATTGTTCTATGTACAATCATTGTTTTATTGATTGCATGTAACATTCAAATTTTCTGAGATTGTGGATTTGGGGTTTTCATGAGCTGTAAGCCATAATCATCACAATTATGACAAATCATGGCTTGAGCTATCTTGCTTTGCATGTAATGAGTCTCTCTCATATATTAGTTTCACCTTTTAAGTTGTGTTACGGAAATAAATGAACTTTTGCACGATATTCTAATTTTTCGAGTTTCACTTGTACAGTGGGAAAAAGAGGACTAGATATTATAGTAAGTATCTTACGGATACAAGCAATACCATGTTTTTGTATTATATCTGAACTAAACAACTATTCAAATGGGTATATATTTTCTACTGTTCTTAGTGGTTGTGGAAGTGTTGCCGAAAAAGGTCTTGACTGAAGGTATCGCCATTCAACCATTACAAAAACCAATTCCCTTTTGTGTTTCAATTCCTGAAAATAGCATATTTCCCCCTTTTTCATAATATCCTTTGAACGTGCATTCTTATCTTTTATACATATACAATGGGGATCGAAAGTTTGGGCACCCCAGCTAAAAATTTGTATTAATGTGCATAAAGAAGCCAAGGAAAGATGGAAAAATCTCCAAAAGGCATCAAATTACAGATTAGACATTCTTATAATATGTCAACAAAAGTTAGATTTTCCATCATTTACACTTTCAAAATAACAGAAAACAAAAAAATGGTGTCTGCAAAAGTTTAGGCACCCTGCAGAGTTAATATCTTGTACTGCCCCCTTTGGCAAGTATCACAGCTTGTAAACGCTTTTTGTAGCCAGCCAAGAGTCTTTCAATTCTTGTTTGAGGTATCTTTGCCCATTCTTCCTTACAAAAGTCTTCCAGTTCTTTGAGATTTCTGGGCTGTCTGTCACGCACTGCTCTTTTAAGATCTATCCATAGATTTTCAAATATGTTGAGGTCAGGAGATTGTGAAGGCCATGGCAAAACCTTCAGTTTACGCCTCTTGATGTAATCCCCCGTGGATTTCGAGGTGTGTTTAGGATCATTATCCATTTGTAGAAGCCATCCTCTCTTTAACTTCAGCTTTTTCACAGATGGCATCAAGTTACCATCCAAAATTTGCTGAAATTTTATTGAATCCATTTTTCCTTCTACTCGTGAGATGTTCCCTGTGCCACTGGCTGCAACACAACCCCAAAGCATGATTGATCCAACCCCATGCTTTACAGTTGGACAGAGGTTCTTTTCATTAAATTCTGTGCCCCTTCTTCTCCAAACGTACCTTTTCTCATTCCGGCCAAAAAGTTACATTTTAACCTCATCGGTCCACAGAACTTGTTTCCAAAATGCATCAGGCTTGTCTATATGTTCATTTGCAAAGTTCAAACGATGATTTTTGTGGTGAGGACGTAGAAGAGGTTTTCTACTGATGACTCTTCCATGAAGACCATATTTGTACAAGTATCTCTTTATAGTGGAATAGTGTACCAAAACTCCAGTGTCTGCCAGATCTTTCTGGAGGGATCGTGCAGTCAAACGTGGGTTTTGAATTGTTTTTCTCACAATCCTGCGAGCTGTTCTGTCTGGAGTTTCAACCTGGCATTCATATCCTGTACAGCTGGTTGCCTTGGGAGCCATATCCCATGAATGCAGAAATATTTTTCAATGGCCTGTGAAAGGTAGTGTTTCATGGCTTTGCTCTCTCTACCCAGTGAATCCCTTCACCACCCACACATACTACAGTATGAAAGAAAGACCTCAACAAAGTGAATAAGCTTTCTGGTAGTGTTTCCTGGGTTGCATTATATAGTTCATGGATTAAAGAATATGCAAACCCAACATTTCATATGTACCTGCTGTACCATGTACTTGTATGAAAAAGTATTCTGTTCTCTTTGTGTTGCTTCTTGTGAGTGAAATCCCTGGTGTCCTACCAGTCCCTCTGCTCTCCTATTAAAAACTGACCATATTAGGAATGAGGGCACAGCATGGTCAGTTCTCTAGCTATGCTATGAACTCAGCCTGCTCTCATCCAATGATTAGACTTGTGCTGATACACCCCCCTGCACAGCCATTCACTGGGAAGATCAATGTTCTCTTGTTTTTCCTCCATGAGCGCCTTATAAGACTGAAAACAGAAGAAATGTGATCACTTATTAAAAAAAAAATTAAAAAAAAAACATTTTTTCACAGCTATACACAACTGTTTTGCCTTTCGTTTCTAGTTGAAACTGAATGGGTTGTTTTACAAGATGAGGGTTTACATATACTAATTTTATTCAAGGCTGCTCTTTTAAACCGCCCATAAAAAAAAAAACTTAAAGGGAGTGGTATAATAAAAAAAAAAAAAAGCAACATTTTGTGTTCATAACCTGACCAGCAAAACAAAACAAAAAACAAAACAAAAAAAAACAATAGCAGCAACTGCAAACTTTTACCTAAAGCAAAGCCTATAACTACTTAAATTGCAGTGATTGCATTATGAATATTTGGTTTTGTTATCTGTGGCACATAAAATCCAGTGAATGGTCATGGCTGCAATCAGCCTCTAGGTGACAATATTTCAACAGACACAGCAGTCAGAAGTACAAAAACAACATATATATACAAACTTGCGTACCGTGTGGGTATGCTATAGAGGTGGCGCATGTCTTGGATGTTGCTGCTGCCAACATTAGTCCAACAAAATCTGAAGCCTCTTTTACAGACTCATCCTCATCATCCATGGCTGTTGCAGTTTTATATTCCAGCAGTCTTCGTTTAATACTTTCATAAATAACAAAGTGGATAACAGTTTTCAGAGATGCCGGCGTAGGAGGCAGACATGCCCCTGTAAAATCCTTTAAAGCCATCTGTGCTGTACACCTTACGGATGCATTCTAAAGCGCTCATTCGTCGTTCTCCTCGGTTTCTGGAAAGGGAAGAAAGATTTAAAGTGCATTTCTCATTAATGATCTGTTACAATAGCTGCACAACATCAAAATGACGCTACAGTAACATTACCAAAAGAAGACTGCACTGATGATTCAAGTGGAGAACCCAGTGATGTTAGCATATAAACAAATAGAAAAAAGTTGCTGCGGTGTATAAGTGATGCCTGACAATCCATTGTATGAATGGAGATTTTCCAGCAAAAACTCAGCTTAACCACCTCAATGCTGGCAATTTTCACTTCCTTCATTGCCAGCCATTTTTCAGCACTGCAATAATTTTACAATTATTTGGTCAACACTGCAATACTGTAACCAAATGAATTTAAAAAAAAAAAAAAAAATCAAATTTATCAGTCAGAGCTTTCATTTGATTTTATATAGTAATTAGAGATGAGCGAAGAAATGAAAAATTCGATTCGACTGATTCGGCGAATTCGTGGACAATATTCGATTCGAGTCGAATAAATTCGCTGTGAATTTAACTTAAAAAAGGGTGTTTCTAGGCTTCAGAGAGACTTAATATTAGTGCAGAACACTGTACCTTTAATTTAAATGCCCTTGGAGTCTGCTGGGGAAGAGAATAATACTGTCACTCAGTATGACATGCAGATGAGTGCCGTCGATCTTAGAATCACCGCACACTTCACTCATTTGGCCAGTCACGGGGCCAAAACCAGTGTTTGGAGCCACAGTGTGGCGGTGGAGGCAGCAGCAATGGGAGGCCATACAGCAACCTATGACAAAATGGAAACCAGCAGGAGTGTGAGGAGACCTGAAAGTGGCACATGGCAGAGTGGGAGCAATGGGAGGCGGTACAGGGACCCAGGTCACACTGTGGGCCCAGCAGCAGCGTGACCAGGCGGTACGGGGGCCCATGGCAGATTTGGGGCCTGGCAGCACCTATGGGAGGCCTGTAATCTGCCAGCACCCTATGACAAAATGGAACCCTGGGCTGGGGCAGGCAGAACCGCCGTATCTTTATCACGGTTTTCCCAGGCCACCGAATGGCGGACGCTGCATATGCTGACGCAACGCTGTAGTCCCAACATGGGCCCCCTGGCCACGCTTGACTTTCTGGCCACATAGTCGACATACGGCTACGTTTACTTCCTCGGGGGCGGCTTGACGAAAAATTGCCACACCGCAGAGTAGGAAACTTTGCCTCCGCTACTCCTCACTGGCTGACTGCTACTTCCTCCGTGCACACCGGCACCACTACTGGTCGTGTGTGGTAGGCTGCAGTGGAGCTGGTGCTCTACTCCGTGGCCGTTTGCCTCCACTGACACTGCTGCGACCCTGCTGCCTCCTGGCAGCAGCAATGGGAGGCCGTACAGGGACCCATGGGAGACTCTGGACTTGGCAGCAGCATGAGGAGGCGGTATATAGGGGCCCATGGCAGATTAGGGGCCTGGCAGCAGCTATGGGAGGCCCGTAATCTGCCAGCACCCTATGTCAAAAAATTGAAAACACAAGCAGTGTGAAGAGACCTGAATGTGGCACATGGCAGAGTGTGGCGATGGAGACAGCAGCAATGGGAGGCCGTACAGGGACCCATGAGAGACTCTGGACTTGGCAGCAGCATGAGGAGGCGGTATATATAGGGGCCCATGGCAGATTAGGGGCCTGGCAGCAGCTATGGGAGGCCCGTAATCTGCCACCAGCCCTATGTCAAAAAATTCAAAACAACACAGCAGTGTGTGAGGAGACCTGAAAGTGGCACATGGCAGAGTGTGGCGATGGAGACAGCAGCAATGGGAGGCCATACAGGGACCCATGAGAGACTCTGGACTTGGCAGCAGCATGAGGAGGCGGTATATAGGGGCCATGGCAGATTAGGGGCCTGGCAGCAGCTATGGGAGGCCCGTAAATCTGCCAGCACCCTATGTCAAAAAATTCAACACACACCAGCAGTGTGAAGAGACCTGAATGTGGCACATGGCAGAGTGTGGCGATGGAAACAGCAGCAATGGGAGGACAGTACAGGGACCCATGAGAGACTCTGGACTTGCAGCAGCATGAGGAGGCGGTATATAGGGGCCCATGGCAGATTAGGGGCCTGGCAGCAGCTATGGGAGGCCCGTAATCTGCCAGCACCCTATGTCAAAAAATTCAACACAACAGCAGTGTGTGAGGAGACCTGAAAGTGGCACATGGCAGAGTGTGGCGATGGAGACAGCAGCAATGGGAGGCCGTACAGGGACCCATGAGAGACTCTGGACTTGGCAGCAGCATGAGGAGGCGGTATATAGGGGCCCATGGCAGATTAGGGGCCTGGCAGCAGCTATGGGAGGCCCGTAATCTGCCAGCACCCTATGTCAAAAAATTGAAAACACAAGCAGTGTGAAGAGACCTGAAATGTGGCACATGGCAGAGTGTGGCGATGGAGACAGCAGCAATGGGAGGCCGTACAGGGACCCATGAGAGACTCTGGACTTGGCAGCAGCATGAGGAGGCGGTATATAGGGGCCCATGGCTGATTAGGGGCCTGGCAGCAGCTATGGGAGGCCCGTAATCTGCCAGCACCCCATGTCAAAAAATTCAACACAACAGCAGTGTGTGAGGAGACCTGAAAGTGGCACATGGCAGAGTGTGGCGATGGAGACAGCAGCAATGGGAGGCCGTACAGGGACCCATGAGAGACTCTGGACTTGGCAGCAGCATGAGGAGGCGGTATATAGGGGCCCATGGCAGATTAGGGGCCTGGCAGCAGCTATGGGAGGCCCGTAATCTGCCAGCACCCTATGTCAAAAAATTCAACACACCAGCAGTGTGTGAAGAGACCTGAAAGTGGCACATGGCAAAGTGTGGCGATGGAAACAGCAGCAATGGGAGGCCGTACAGGGACCCATGAGAGACTCTGGACTTGGCAGCAGCATGAGGAGGCGGTATATAGGGGCCCATGGCAGATTAGGGGCCTGGCAGCAGCTATGGGGAGGCCCGTAATCTGCCAGCACCCTATGTCAAAAAATTCAACACAACAGCAGTGTGTGAGGAGACCTGAAAGTGGCACATGGCAGAGTGTGGCGATGGAGACAGCAGCAATGGGAGGCCGTACAGGGACCCATGAGAGACTCTGGACTTGGCAGCAGCATGAGGAGGCGGTATATAGGGGCCCATGGCAGATTAGGGGCCTGGCAGCAGCTATGGGAGGCCCGTAATCTGCCAGCACCCCATGTCAAAAAAATTCAACACAACAGCAGTGTGTGAGGAGACCTGAAAGTGGCACATGGCAGAGTGTGGCGATGGAGACAGCAGCAATGGGAGGCCGTACAGGGACCCATGAGAGACTCTGGACTTGGCAGCAGCATGAGGAGGCGGTTTATAGGGGCCCATGGCAGATTTAGGGGCCCTGGCAGCAGCTATGGGAGGCCCCGTAATCTGCCAGCACCCTATGTCAAAAAATTCAACACACCAGCAGTGTGAGAGACCTGAAATGTGGCACATGGCAGAGTGTGGCGATGGAAACAGCAGCAATGGGAGGCCGTACAGGGACCCATGAGAGACTCTGGACTTGGCAGCAGCATGAGGAGGCGGTATATAGGGGCCCATGGCAGATTAGGGGCCTGGCAGCAGCTATGGGAGGCCCGTAATCTGCCAGCACCCTATGTCAAAAAATTCAACACAACAGCAGTGTGTGAGGAGACCTGAAAGTGGCACATGGCAGAGTGTGTGGCGATGGAGACAGCAGCAATGGGAGGCCGTACAGGGACCCATGAGAGACTCTGGACTTGGCAGCAGCATGAGGAGGCGGTATATAGGGGCCCATGGCAGATTAGGGGCCTGGCAGCAGCTATGGGAGGCCCGTAATCTGCCAGCACCCTATGTCAAAAAAATTCAACACACCAGCAGTGTGAAGAGACCTGAATTGTGGCACATGGCAGAGTGTGGCGATGGAGACAGCAGCAATGGGAGGCTGTACAGGGACCCATGAGAGACTCTGGACTTGGCAGCAGCATGAGGAGGCGGTATATAGGGGCCCATGGCAGATTAGGGGCCTGGCAGCAGCTATAGGAGGCCCGTAATCTGCCAGCACCCTATGTCAAAAAATTCAACACACCAGCAGTGTGTGAGGAGACCTGAAAGTGGCACATGTTTGAGGCATAAATTCATGGCGGATTTAGTCAGTTGTGTCAGGAACTGGTGGTTTGAAATCCAGACTAATCCACGCCTGATTCATTTTCACAAACGTGAGTCTCTCCACACTTTGGGTGGACAGTCGTGTCCTCCGCGGAGTTACAATACCTCCTGCCGCACTAAAACACGCGCTCCGATGCCACGCTACTGGCCGGGCATGACAGCCTTTCAAGGGCAAATTCAGCTAGTTGGGGCCAAAGGTCAAGTTTCGTTGCCCAGTAGTCAAGGGGATTGTCTACCTCGGTTGGCAGGGTGCTGTCCAAGTAGGCCCAAGCCTGTTGTTTGAGCTCCTGCTCCAGGTCCACCTGATGCTGCTGCTGCTGCTGCTGCGGCTGGTTAGTAGTTTCCTCACTGCGCTGGTGAAGAAAGCTACTCATCATCGACTGCAGACTGAGGATTGCAGCAGCCGCTGCTGGTGGAGCTGCCACTGCTCCTACCTACCACCCCACCCCTCCCTGCTGCCATGCCAGCGGAACGCGAGCGCACAGGGCCCACAGTGTCTGAGGATGGACGTTGGCGCACAAAGGCAGAGACCAACTGACTACATAGGTGGTTTTTATAGTACGTTATTTTGGCCTCCCTCTCAGCAGGTGTGAAAAAGGCCACCATTTTGGAACGGGAGCGAGGGTCCAACAAGGTGGACAGCCAAAAGTCATCCCTCTGTCTGATGGTTATTATTCGGCTGCGCTGGGAAAATAGGCTACCAGCAAAGCAAAGTCATCCCTAATGCTGATGGGTCCCTTTTCGCTGTCGGCACAACGCAAGCAACGCACCGAGCATGCTAT